TCATCAATATCCTCACCTTATAGATTCTTGACATGCAGAGGGCCATTGTCCTATGAATTTAGTTTTTCATGCTATGGAGAGTCTATCAACGGAGATTTTAAAAGTGTAGTAAGGACAATCAGCAATTTTTGATATTAGACCACTTGGTTCAAACAGGTCGTAAAGCTATTAATGAAGAGTCTTTATCTGTCATCCACCAGGTATCAGCTGAAGTGTCAAAAGCATCCAGATGTCGAATACTCCAAAAGGCAAAGGCGACTGTAATTCACTTAAAAAGATGAGACTTCTGTGTGCAGAAGAAACAGTTCCAGCTACTACTGCTACCCTAGCCTGCTGTAGAACCCATGGATTCATAAATTATGTATAATCTTTTTCAATATTTAGTTTGTAAGGACTTGAATTGTTTTGAGTTTGATGGCAGATAAGTATCAGTTAGAGAACCGTCGAGAGCTGGGGAATACTGGATGGCTACTTCGTCCTAGTGTGGGACTCATCGACAGTACGCATCCACTGGGGTTCGCACCCAAGATCTCCTGGTTACAAGTCACGCTCACTGACCATTCAGCCACTGTATTACTTCTCTTAATTTATCTGATATTCAGTTTACTGTTGTATTGTTGCATACTATAACTTATTTTTTATTTATTTTATTTTGATTACAGCTTGATTCCACACCGTATTTTTTGGTACAGGTATGGAATTTTCAGCATGTGATATCGGTAGCCCAAGTTTTGCAGGCTGACCATAGACATCAGGTGTTCGTTGGCAGTAGATCGAACCTCGGACCATGTGTACGATCGGCGAGAGTCCTAACCACTGTGCCACCGACGCCAGCAGATGCTTTGAACTATTATCCAGTGGTATTACTGATTCAATGCTCCTTACAACATTAAATGTTGTTAATAACGACAATTCTTTAACTAATACACATATATAACTGTAGGATCTGATGAAGCAGTTACAGTACAGAATATTCCAGTATGGTTAAGATATGTAAATGATACTTTTGCAGTGCTAAAACGAGGTCTACATAGTTTATCCTGGAAGAAACTGAACAATCTATCTCCTAGAATCCAGTTTATTTCAGAAACAGAATCAGATGTCGGTGAACTACCGTTTCTAGACTGCCTAGCTGAGAGGAGGGAAAACAGACACTTTATTATATCTATATTCAGGAAGAAAACCCACTCCAACAAATTTTAGACTTCCGATCATCACACCCGATCAGCGCAAAGGTATCAGCTGTTTCAAGTCTTCTTAGACGATCACACTCTTTGATAACGGATGAGAAAGAAAAAGAAGAAGAAATATCAAACATCACTGAGACTCTCAGGCAAAACAACTACCCAAGGAACTTCATCAACAAAATCAGCACTGACATTAAGTTTAATCGAAAACGTATTCCGAAAACGTGAACCTCAACAGTTGCCATTCTATATCGAGCAGAGACGTTAGACGATATCAGAAGAGTACTCTATGAGGACGACATCAGACTTTCTTTCAAAACATCAGACACACACTACAAAGCAACCTTGTCCATATAAAAAACCGAATTTTTAAATATTCTTTATCTAATTGTGTCTACAAAATAAAATGCTTGGAATGTGATGCGATGTGCATCGGAGAAACATCGCGAGAAATCAAAATCAGGAGAAATGAACACCGTAATGCCGCATCTGTTCGACCACCGAGAAATCCGGTTAAACTAGAAAAGCTTGAAAAGCCATCAGCCATTGGTCTACACGCTATAGAATCAGGCCACAAAATTGATTTTGACAATACTGAAATAATCCTGAAAAATCTCAGAAATCACGAAGAACATCTGATATCAGAAGCACTCCATTTCAAATGGAATCCAAACTGTCTGAATAGGAATGATGGACTAAAACAAAATTTGACCTGGTTACAACATCCCCCTCTCCCATGAAGTTACAAAACCAACATGAATGTCATAAGCAATTTCATTATATAAACACACGCTGCTTTTATAATTTTATAAACTTATCAATTCCGACAATCTACACTTGGTTTTGTTATCTTTATCAATTGGCCAAATTGATAAGGTAAAAATGATCTCATTCTGAAGAACGAGGATTAAGTTAATGTATATAAGCTGAGATTTTGTAAATTCTGGTTTATTAATACTTTGATGAAACTATTAGTAGCATTAGATAGCGAAACGTCAGTAAAACAATATCGTTTTGTTTTTCACTCATTGAGAAATACAAAATACCTTTATTATAATAAATATGACATACAGAAAAGTGTCAAATTATTCAATGACATTCCGTTTCAATGATTAATCTGACGATGAATGAACCTTTATAGGTCACTGAATTTTCAATGCATCGATGAATAAAAGGACTAAAATTAGAAATTCATCATCTCCACCAACACTCAGAATGGCTAATTTCTCGATCAATTACTTTATATTTCTACAATTTTAATTACTGTGTAAACTTCATTATAAAGAAACTACTTTTGTGAGGTATGCGTGAAAACTAGATAAACAAATTAAGGTTAACATGCCTGTAATCAATTGGGTTGAATTTTGTCTGAATAATGCAAATAGATAACAGTGATGCAGTCAAAACATTGTTAGATAAAATCATAATTTTCATAACTTCAGAAAATCACTGTTCGTCATCATTAAGGCATATGTATACATATTATTGGTGTGGATGTGTTTTCTGATTGTTTATTTGCGAAGCTTTCATTGTTTATATAGACAACATATTCAGCGCGTATTTCAATTTCAAGCTAGACTTTAGAATTTTTCAGTTTATCAGACATCTCCCCTGGTAATTTTAAACATGATTGCTTGCTTTTGGCTGTTTGATCAGAGTAGACACCCACTTCGTTTCCGTATCCATAACCACAAACTAGCTGTCAAAAGACATGATGCCCATTACATAAATCGGTAATACATGCAGACATAACGTAGAGAAAGTGTGCCAAACCTAGGAATTTAGAGAAGCCTGATACTCATACTCTGTAGTCAACAGACGCATTAACATAGGTCAGATTTTGATTTGACACTATCAACTAATGCGATGTATCTAGTCCTATGTCTGGTGCAGACTGAATTCTGTCAGTCGCCTTTGCAATGGGGCCACCATTCTAGGTAGCTCGCCATCATCGGGCACATTGATTTGATGATATTAGTTGGCTGGAGGCAATCGGCAGGAAGCCTTAGACCTGGGTTTCGTGCTAGTTGGCACTCATCAGCAAGGTGTATCTTCAACCTTGAAGAAATTCATGTCCCTGCGGAGGTTCGAACCCGCGTCACCCAATGAGTTCTACAGTCAGAGATGTTACCACTGAGTTACTCGTGCTAACGATTGACCTCCTGTAGGACTGTATTGGATATTGTTTTGATGGGATACTAGTCAGTAATGTAGTCCCTTGTTTGCTGCAGACTGAACTCCGTCAGTCGAGTTTGCAATGTTACCACCATGCCAGGTGGCTTCTGATGAGTATTTTCCACGATTATACTGATTCAGTATATCAACCATGGATATGGTCCGGGTTCGATTTCCAGTTGGTACATTCCTAATACCTTGCCTAGCAGGTAATAAGCCTGGTAAAGAAGAAAGGGTGGGTTTGAGGCCAGCAGTTCCACCCCACTAGAAAAAAGCAGCATCACTGTTACTGAAACAAAGTCTTACATTACATTCTACTAGGAATGCTAAGGAATGAAAAAGATATCATTATTTTGACTGGACACTAGTAACTAGTGTAATGTGTGTTGTCCTATCTTTGGTGGAGACTGAATTCTATCAGTCAAGTTTATAATGTGGCCACCATTCTAGGTAGCTTGTCATCACGGTGCACATTGATTTGATGACATTAGAGATCAGTCGCGAGCCCGAATAGTTTAGTGGTAAAATCTCATACTGCAGTACTCGCTGGGTGACGGGGGTTCGAATCTTAGAAGGGAAATGAATTCCTTCAAGGTTGCAGATACCCCTTGTTGACGAAACCTACGTCTATGGCTTCGTGTCGATTGTCTCCAACCATCTAATATAGGTCAGCAATGGGAAGGAAGGTACATAGACAAAAGGTCAACTTTTAGGTCACCAAAATAATCAGTACCAATACAAGTGCAATAGACGAACAAATATTCACCTTCAAGGTTGCCAGGTAAGATACATCCTAAACTCGCGGAGAATTCTAAGAGCCTACTTCAGTCCAAGTGTGCGCTGAAGATGGTGTCTAGAAAGACAATGAAAGCTTCACAACTAAACCACCCATTCCAAAGAATACTAACATCATCCACCTGAAATATAAATCTCCAATATACATTTGTATATATATATATATATACTGACAATTTCACAAGGAACCACTTGATGACCTCCACTTTAACTGATCCTCGAAACTGTCTTCCTAAATTCTGAATAATTTACTTGATGATTAACTGACATTTAGACGGAATTCAATTGGATTTACTCCATACAGGCACTTGTTAATTATACTACAATAAACACTTACAGACATATTATTAACTTTACAGTGTTTCTTTATTTATAGCTATACACCTTATATTCACAGTTCATAGTGGGATGATTCTGCCGAAGATCACTTTCCAGTCGACTGTGAAAGTATATCAGCTTTTCTCGAATAATATAAGTGCCATTTTCATCCATATAATATTACTTCTTTGGTTTCCGAGTGGAACATTTCTTCCCTGTTCCCTACACTCCTTTTGTGCTGTCTCCATGATCCCCAATAAACTTTCATTTCCTCTTGATACTAACCCATCCCCACCGTAAGTCACACAGAGACAGGCGCACAGCTTGTCCTTTCCTTTTTGGGTTTCACTCGACTACCTCCATTGAGCGTAATAATGTTACTCAATAACATTTTCATCTCCTTACTGTTTATGTTTCTTGGTCTGTGTAAATTCTTAATGAAAATAGATACCATTTAGATGCTGTTAATTACAAGCTATCTAACAGAGTACCATCCAGCTTAGAGAACACAACTACAGCAAAATCCCCACTATATCTAACACAATACGTTAAGTTAACTGGTATTGTCAGTGTCTAATTTCCTGGGAACGAACCAACCCAGCAGGAACCAATTGTGCAACAAATATTCAGGAAGAAATCAAGGTGGATTGGCCATACTCTGAGAAAACCATCAAGTGACATCACACTACAGGCATAACCCCTAGTGGAAGCGGCTAGTTGGTCGTCAGTGCGAGTGTGACATGGAGGAAGTCATGTGAAGAGGAGATGAAAGCATGTGGGCAGACGTGGAGCCAGGTGAAAACGTTAGTGGAGAACCAAACGCAGTTGAGACGTCCGACTGAAGCATTGTATTCCTCTAAGAACTAAAGCAGACAATAATAATTGTCCAACAATGCCATACGTCTTAGAAGGAACCCGTAAATAATATTGCATACTGGAAACTCATTTTTAAAACCCTTGTGAAATGTATTTTATTCTGTTTTTGTGCTAAGAAGCACCGAATATTAGTTAAGCGCAAGACTGCAATCTCTTCTACTATACATTGCTGACAGTTCAGTCTTCAAGCTGCTGTCTCAAATCTTTGTACTGTGAAGGCAAACTGACAGCACTAAGAATTTACTGACCAATTTAGAGTGAATAGACCGGTTCTGCAAGAAAAACGTAGACAAATGAAGAAAGGGACGAATAAATAATACACCTAAATGTTATACTCTTTTTCGGGAGATTTTATTGCAAATATAAGCAGTATATACTGCAGCAAGTGAAAAAGTATGTTTTGAATTTGGACGGGAAAATATTCTGTACTGACAAACTTGAATGATTAAGGCTTAAAAACAGTCTCTGTACAATCCTGAATAAAAGCAAAACAATTAGTTCACAGAATGGGTCTCTTATCGGAGAATACATTTTCTCTAGCAGTACAGTCACATTTGTGTACAATTATTCTCACAAAAGAGGATAGTAAGAAGAATGATTACTTGTCATAAACATAGTTGGTAATATTTATCAATATATGAGAGGAGTTGAATAAGGGTGTCGACGAGGTGGTTAGTTATCACACTCCTTATAGTGCCACTGGCACAATTCTGTGACTAAGCGGGATAGTTTTGTTGAATCCTGTTAGACAGGATACGTGTCGAACGACCAGTATACCCAGTGTGGCATGTGCTACTGATAAAATTTACCAGTAGTATAAAAAGAGATGTTCATCGGCATAAAAATATCATATAGCAGGGAGATAGATTTGAAATCAAAGAGACTAAGCGATTCAGCGTTACGGATAAACATGGGAGACGTGAAAAGGAAGACAAAGAAACACAATATGAAGGCCAGAAGTAGGACAACACGGAAGATATATGCAACTGATGATTCGGAGGTGAGGTGTTCATAATTTCTCTATATAAAGATACTTAATACTAATTAGACATTACGTCACCAATTCTCTTGTCTTATACCGCTGCACTGGCTTTACATTTATTTCGTTTATATGTGCATCTTGATTTCAAGTCATCCATTAAATTATTCATCTTATTATGCAACTGTTACCCCCTCAACCAACCACTCTTTTGTGTTGATTAATATTAACAACTGTGATTGAGACAACTCATCATTTTTGTTACTGTCCTCCATTTTGGAACAAAATTGCACATAAATACGATTGTGCAGCTAAAGAAGAGAATGAATTCTGCGAAAAAAGCCACTTCACTGCACTACCTGTTTGTTTATTAGTTTTCATTACAGCCTAGATGGGGACTATCCATGACTTCTGAATCATACTCCCGAATAGCTGACCTCTAAATGATATAAATCACAACACACCAGTCGATTCAGTTTCATATCTGCGAAATGTATCTTCTAAAACTGATCTGAACAAAATAACCTTAATTATATGACAGCAGTGAATACTATACCTGAAGTCTGTTTTCGAAAAGATGGCTCATTCATCTTTTTAATAATAATAATAATTTGCTTTATTCCAGAAACAGTAATAGTGGTACAGTGTGGAATTTTCAGCACATATCTACAATATTTGCATCTAATTTTACAGACATTTAAAATAAGTATTAAACAAACAAAAAAATAAATCTGAAGACACCAACAGCAAAAAAAACAGGATAAACACAAAAAAATTATAAATGCGAAAAAGTACAAAAGTACCAAAGTCTAATGCAGTGTTTGTGGTGGTAGTGTGAGTAATCCTGCATAATACAAAATTTTTTAAGGTGGTGACTATGGCGTTCACAACCAATGATTGTCAGTTTAATATTGCCAAAAAGTATAGAAAAATAAGAAAAAACCGCCACAAAACTAATAATTATATGATGGTTAATGACAGGACAATTTTGTAAAACTCATAGTGCTAATATAGTAGGAAACCAGTAGATACACAATAGAAGGAATATAGTAAAGTACAAAAAAGGAAGCCAGTGTTAATAATTTAGGTAGCTAAGTATGTTTGAGAAGGAGTTCACTATAGAATACAAAATAAGAGAGAAATAAAAGAGCCTAAAATTATGTCGTTAATAACAGAGCAAGTCATAAGTATCACGCTTAACATTGTCTCTGTCACTTAAAACACGGGCCAAATATGGTATCGTTGAGTTCCTGTACTTGGTTGTACGAGCATAGATTATTTTAAACTGATTTCTCGTTTTACTTGATGAGATACAAGGCGAGAGCTGGGAATAGAGGGGGTGTTGGGGGTCGGAGAGTATGGTTTTTGAACATTTTCATCAGACATTTCGTCCTAAACACACTTTAAAGACAATACAAAGATGGAAACACCAAAAATACCACAAAATCAATTTCTAGAAGCCTGATACTCAGACGATGTAGCAGTGCTGAACAGGCATATTACTACAGATCAAATGTATCAGTTAATAAGCAATACGAGTCACGAAGAGCACCTCAAACAAACTACAGACCTTCGTCAACAGCTGTCTTCGCTCAATACTACTCAAGATTAGATGGCCAGAAAAGATCAGCAACAGGGAGAGATCTCTTGAAGCAGACCAACCAGGAACAGATTGTGCAACAAATAAGCAGGAAGAAATGGAGATGGATTGGTCATACTCAGAGGAAACCATCAAGTGACATCACTAGACAACCCCTCGAGTGGAACTCGAAAGGGAAGCGGCGAGTTGATTGTCCAAGGGTGACTTGGAGGAGGTCATGTGAAGAGGAAAAGAAAGCATGTGGGCAGACATGGAGCCAGATGAAGACTGTAGCAGAGAACCGAACGCAATGGAGACGCACGGTTGAAGCCCTATGTTCCTCTAGGAATTAAAGGAAACAATAATAATAATAATGAATAAGCCATATAACAAAAAACGTTTACTTCCAAATCAATAAAAACGATCAATAATACTAATAAGTTCTCACAACAGAGGTCATCTTCCGATACAATCATATATATATATATCATTCATCAGGAATTTAAGTAAGTTCACATCATTCCGAAGCGATATTGTCTGACAGAACAATGACAATTACTCAAACGAAATCCTCGCTCAGCTCAGAGAATGCAAAGATATCTAGAAACAGAATAATTGGGGACAATCGCTTTTTTTCAATTAGCCCTACTTGTATAAACAAAAGTCTAAAATAGAAATAAGCTATTATATTACACTTGAGTAAATATCGAATTTCATTGTGTTTTAAATTTTACCAGTTTCTTCCCCCCTCCCCTATCTACTCAATTTTCCTCTCTCTCTCTCCCCACTCCACACACACACGCACAATACCTAATTCAGTTCAACATATACACAAGTTTATGACCTGCAAGTAATTTTTTGAAAAAATTTTAAACTTTTTTCTGAATTGTAAAGTCGGCAAACTTTCCTCTCACTGCATATTTATTTATTTTCCCTTTGATCGAAGGAAAAATGATCCGGGATAAATGCACACCATGGACATATATATATATGTATATATCTATATGGGTTATTCGACCTTCAAATGTCACACCAAGAAAACAACAAGTGAGAAAGTAGAAATTTTTTAAAAAAAAAGAAGAAGAAGAAATTGAAGAAGCTGATGGTCAAGTAAACAAATACTGTGGAAAAAGTAGTCAGTTGAAGAGATCGATTATTGTATATACAAATAACCATTAAGTGTTGCTTCTATTGATGACAGTTAATCATTCATATATATGTATCCTTTCTAACGTATATTTTCATAGATACATCTGTATAACAATATGTTTAGTGTTTAAGCTGAGTGGCAGACTATTGCTTACAAGAAAACAACTTTTAAATGCCACCAATATAGAGGAATAATTGATTTGAAAGTCGCTCTTTCATGAACAATCTGTTTACGATATTCATGCTTATATGAATATTTGGAGACATGAACGTCAAACTGGGACCAGACAACACAGGAAGGGAACTCATCATGGGTAGAGAAGCTCTTGGAGAAATGAATGAAAACGGAGAACTCTTTGCCGACTGCTGCGCCTTCAATGAACTAGTGATTGGTGGCAGCGTATATAAACACAAGGATATCCACAAAGCTACATGGGTGTCA